TGGAAAAATAAGTTCGCCCTTCTATTTAATGTTATTAATTGTTATCTGAATTCATTGGAGTAAAATCTCATTTTTAAAGACAGAAACTTACTTTTTTAAAAGTAAGTAGCAGAATTTTTATTTTTTAAAGTGAGATTTCAAAGAATGTATAGAGCATACTTATCAAATTAATACATTTTTTGTATTAAAAAGACACAAGAATGATGAAGGAAAGAAAGGAAAAAACTACAGCCTAGCGTAGAAAGTGCGTTAATCTTGCTAGTATCGCAACGATATCACGAAGGATAGAACACGCGTGCCGGGCGGATCTATTGCAAAAGATACGAGAGAAAGGCGACAAGACGCGTGTGGTCCATCGGACGGCCGACGATGAGTAGGACAGGACCAGAACGACGACAGTATCTTATCCGAGGCACGACCGATCGATCAATGGCGAGATCGATGCCTTCAGCCGGCCGACCGATCGGAGTATCGCGGCATGCTTGGCCGCGCAAGTATTTTTCACCCCGCAGGCGGCGGCGGCGACTGGCCGGCCGGAACCAACGATATAAATTCGAACCTTCTGAATTATCGGCGGTTTCGTGACGATAACGCGATTGAAAATGAACTTCTTCGATCTTCTAGACATGTTATATTCGATGGGACAAACATTTGGCGATTAAACAATTATTAATATTAGACGTAAATAAAAATTTGTCTAAATATGTCAGAAATAGATTAGATACCGAAGAAATAATGGTTACTCAATCTCTTGAGTTAAATAATATTTTGTTATTTTTAATTTCCTTGTGTGTTAAAATATAAGTCATTCCATTTCTCTGTGATTAGTTTTAAAAATAAACAACGTGGATGGCATATTAACGAATGAACTTAATAAATATTGTAATAAACTAAAATCGAGTTTAATAATTGTTTACTTCCACTGTTTTAGTTAGATTAATGATATATTAAGTAAGGGTAATGGCGACCTATAGAAGTGGTAAAACACAATTTAACTTGGATATACTTACTTAAATTGGATATAATATGGATTTAACAGTGAGTTGATATTTTATAGATAAAATGTTTGATAATCTTAATTTTAAATTTGTTTAGTATTTTCAGTTTAATATTTTTGGAAGTTATACTGATCTAATTAAATATTCATATATATAAATTTAATATTATTATTAAAAAGTGTGGTATTTATTAGGAAAGAATTAATCACGTGCATATCTATTTGATATTTTCTAGAAGAATTTTAATTCATTTATTTTCCAATAAAACAAATTGATTAAATCGATTAGATTTCCAAATTCCGTGACCAAATTTCTTTTGCAGTAAATAAATAAATAAATAATTATCTGTTTGTCCTATGTGATAAAAATGCCTACGATATATATTTGAATGTTTGAAGAAAACGTTTATATTGATAAACAGATAGAGAGAAATATGCCAACATTTGTACACTTCGTTTGCTTCAGACACGTATTCGTCTGCGTGCGTGCGTTATGAATCCCGACGCGCCTCTGTTCGCATAACGAGGGTGCTCGATTCTCGAAATCATTATCGCTCGTCAAAAGCCGATCCGGCGTTACGACCCTAAAGACAGGTAGCCTGCTTGAAACGGTCGCACATATGGCGCACCCACACCCGTGACCAATCGCTAACACGGTCATATCGGCCCTCGTTCACCACGCCAGTCGCCGCTGCGCTGCACCGCACGCATCCACCAACACTTTAAACGACGTACCTACACACGCGACGCGAAACCCCGCTTAAAACGCTCGTTTGCATTCTTCGAATGAATGAAGATATTGGGAGAGAGAGAGAGAGAGATGCAGTGTTTATTAATATTCTAGGGCAAATCTTATAAGAATGTACAGGCAAGAAATGTGATAAGAATACAACAAAGAAAAATGATATAAAGAAGATAAAACAAAAGATGAATAATACAAAAAAAAAATAAAGACGCTGAAAAAATAATACAGAAAAAATAAGATCGCAAGGAAAAAATAAAAAATAAGAATAAAATTATTTATTCCGTATAAATCAAGTTCACTTTCAAAATAAATGGAAGAGATCGCGAGTGATTTGTACAATAATTATAAAAATTATTAATTATAAAAATATTTGACATTTAACGCTTTTTTTTTATAAATGATAATTTATAAAATACGATTTTATAAATCGTAGAACTTTTCTTCAAATAGAAAAAATATTGATAACTACATCGATTTATATAAAAAAAAAAAGAATCGTTGCTTCTCCAGATCGCGCGATGTCATTCGAATCTTCGCCGTCAGCGCGACGGTAACGCGCGCGTGCTCGTTCGGCCAGAAATGTTTGCAGAGCAGAAGGCGCGACGGTAACAGCGACGGCGACGGCGGTGGCACGTGGGGAGCGCGAAGGCGACACGCTCAAACACGAAGACTACCGCGATTCGACCTCGATCTCGATCTCGATTTCGATCTCGATCGCGCAAGCGACGGCCGTCCATCCGTCTGTTCGAGCTGGCCAGCCTCCTGGGCCTCGGTACTCGTCGCCGGCGACGAAAAATTGCACAACAGCAGGTTTCGTTCGTCGCAGCATATCATATAAGAGAGACAGGGCTGGGGCAACCTAATGCTAATGCGACTACCATTAGCAAGTAGTGAATCGAATGCAAAGTCGGACGTAAGGTGGGACCACACAGGTCGCGCTTGCTTGCTCGCTCACTCGCTCGCGGAGGGTTATACGGGGCCAGCAGATGCAGTGCCCCATAAACAGCGGGGCGAGACCACCCAACGCGCTTGTTCCTTCGTTTCGTTCCTTCGTCTGTTTCCTTAATAACCACGATAGCCTGCCTGTTACCGTGCGGGAAGGTGTGCAGGCGCTCCTCTCTTTCTCTCTCTCTCTCTCTCTCTCTCTCTCTCTCTCTCTCTGTCTCCCCCCCCCCCTCTC